ACACACACACACACACCTCCAGAATCACTCCAGAATCACTCTAGCAGTATGGACACGCAGTCAGTCTGCGTATCTAAGCATGACTGACACCCGACAGTGGGCGGGCACTGAGGGCAGTGGAGCGAGGAGAGTTTTTTCCGGCTATAATAAAACAGTTTAATTGGATTTGTTCATATGCAGGGGAGCTACTTGTATGGATTAGCATATCAATGCCTTCACACAAATCGTATTTTCAAGTGCATTGAGCACTAAGCAGCGCAAAATTAATTCTGCATGATATGCCTTGGGGCTTGGCACAGTGTTTTCTCTATACAGAGGACACCCTGACAGACACCAGCGCACAGGTAGCAGTCACAGTCACACACGTACTCTAACACAAAGCTGGAACACAGACAACTAATTCTGTATTTGCATTACTCCCCTGTATTAACAGTTAATACAGGTAATACAAATCACTCATGTACACAAAACAAACTGATAAAGCTCCCACTGACCGGCATCATCGCAGCATCAAGGGAAATGTTGCTGGTCAAAACCACAATGGTTCATAATCAGAAATCTGACAAAAGCCTTTTAAAAAATGTTTTTAAAGAGTTTGTTTCAATTTCAATTTCAGTCAGACAAGATCTCAGACTTTCTTTCTTGCTTTACCTTCCTCCAATCTTTAAAGTAGTTCTCCCGGAACACTTTCTTGGTGGTGTATTCATGGTCCAACATCTGGGCAAAGAACAACCCCACCTCCTCAGCGGCAAGGCTCAACTTCACCTTCTTACCTGCACACAAACAAAACACAAGCACACCATTTTAATTCAACAAACAAAACAACTCACACATTTAGACGCCAAGATCAATATCCAACATGCTGTAACAGCCACCTCAGCCCCTTTAGAGTCCCGTCAGGCTAATTCATGACTTTACAGACGTACACTCAGAGACAAGGACAAAGATCTCCATTCAGAGTGAGCTACAAACAAGTACATGCAAGCGCAGGAATTAACAGATCAAACCAACTCCCTGTTGGATGCTGTTGTGGCTAGACTGCTAAACGAAGCAAAAACAATTACAGTCATCAATCAGTGTTTGACCCAATACACCTTTAGCTTCGTAAACATCCAGTTGGGCCGTGTCTTGTGTTTGTGTGCCTCTACGCTGGCATCCACAGATCTGCCCACTTCCAAGAACTCTTCTGTTTTATACTTTGTTCACTGTTCCTCTAAATCTGAGCTTGCACTTTGTCTGGCTTTCATTTTTAAGATAAAAAAAAATTAGAAACACGACTTAAAGCAAATAAAATGTTGCTTTGATGCATTGTTTGATGCATGTTTTACTTGTTGACTTAGTTAAACAAATTCACATGTATGTAAATTGATTTACTGCATGTCGTTTTATGTGTATTTTTATGTATTGTGCAGCTGTCTATTTTTTTCTCTTTTTGATTATTTGTTGTTATATTTTTCATTTTTGTCCCACTACTTCTGCCTCCCCATTTCTCTAATTCTTGTGAAGCACAGGTTAAAAAAAAAAAGACAAAGAATCCCAGAAAATCATCAAAAACTGAAGTTGTTCTGTAGTGCACCAGTGAGGTTATTTTAAATTACTGTCATGAGTAAAACTATGCCGTGTGTGTCAAATATAACGTGTAAAGCCCTTTCAGCCCTGTTTCGTTCACCCTTTCTGACACATTCATCTTCCATGCTGAACTGACCGTCGTAGTAGAAGTGAACGTTGTCTGGCAAAGGCTGGTAGTCAGGCGGGAAGTAGGGTCCATTGTGTTCGAGGAACCTCCATTTCACCCCATCTTCATACTTCTCTTCCTCCCACCTGGCAGGAGGCAAGATGATGAAAAAATAAGGGTTAGATTTGACAAAGTGAAAATAGCTGCTCTCCACTTTTCCCCATGTAGTTTGATTGCGTGTTTGTGTCTGTGTGGTGGGGGTGGGTTCAGGTCAATGCATGGAAAGAGCAGCATTTCCCAACCATCTCCAGCGACTCTGCTCCTCCTCCTCCTTCTTTTTTATCTTCAACTGTTTTGCCTCCTCAATCTCCCCCTTTGTCCTCTTAGGCTTTTTGGAGACTGGATGCTCTCCTTCCTCTTTCTTTACCGTCTGTACCGAGAAAAACACTTAAGATGAGAATTCAAACACTCCCATCATGGACTGCATTTCCAGCAAACTTCATATAGTGGGATTATTATTGATGGGAGACAGAATAGCTCGCAAGGACAGATGTTTACCTTGTCTGTTCTCTTCTTTGATTTCTTTTTCTGAGCTTCCCCGTCACTTTCGTCTTCCTGTCCATGTTGCTTATTTTTTTTCTTTGAGCTGCAGGTAACACGAAGACAGACAGAATACTAATAGCTTACACGATACTGAAAAACATGAAATTTAAATATTAAATCAAGATTAATGTTAATATTAACATGTGTTATAGATGCCAGTAAAACCAAAGACCTGGTCAGACATACGTAGGTGTAGACGAGGAATGTGAAGGACCTTCCATGGGCTCATCCTTAATTCTTTTCCTTTTCAACCCTTTCTTTGCGGTAAAGTCATCGTCCATTGGCTCTTGTTTCACTGACTTGCTAAACCCCAAAAAGAAAAAAGGACATTCATTGTTCACATGTATTTTGAAGCTGAGTAAACTTGTCATCTTATTACTGTTAACGTTTTTTTTTCTTTCAATCAAAAGTCTGCTTTGAAATCTCATTCAGTAACAATTCTTTTCATATTTCTAAACACACAGCAGACGGTAGACGGCAGCTTTGAAGTTGAGCACAATAAAAATCACAGTCACCCCTCTTTGACTCCTCTTAAACCGTTCAAGGCAATGGTAGTTTAATTTTTTAAAACAAATTTCTTATTAAGTGTTCATCTGTTTCTTAATTTTGTCCTCGAAAATCTGACTTGAACTGTTGATTCTGAATTAGCTCCCACTTAACGAGCTAATACCAAGGCAGAATAAAAGCTTAATGGCTCTTTTTCACTGCTGTCTGCCACACTGCTGGCTACAGAGTTAGAACAAAATTACCTTCCATGCAGAATAGAGGGGGGAAAAAAATCCAATGATGACACACTGACCACAAGAAATCACACATAATTATGGTAATTCTGCAACATTATTGAAACAGTAATGATAATGACATAATTACAGCAATTAGAAATGTAAAAAAAATAATTACACAACTGTAAGCTTGGATTTCCCTTCAGAGGGAGGAATTGGGGGGTAGGGAAATAGCCCAAATTAGGAAATTAACAAAACACCACTGCTAATAAACGGCTAATAAATAACAGCGTTCTCCTTTCCTTCACATTTAGTTAAGGGGGAAATGAGAAAAATGTAAAGCACTGTAGCACATAATTGTCAAACTGCCTTACTGAATCCCAATTACAAGCCACTGTGGTAGCAACTACCTGGTACACGTTGTATGAACCTAATGCACTCTTCTCTGCACTTCTACAGTATGACCCCTGCTGGCTTCTGATTGAGAGTAATGAGCCTTCTCTCAGGTTCTCTGGCCTCTGACTCCATCTGGACTTTGCTGCAAATGCTGTACATACTCGAGTTCACCCGTAAATCCGACAATATGGGACCTTTAGTTTTACTTTAGAGAAAACACATTCTGGACTTCAATAAATAAAACTGAAGGAAACATTTTTATTGTTTCAGTTCTTAAAATAAAAGACAATGCAACACAGTTGTAATGTAAAGGTCACCATAGGAAAAGCACAGGTATAGATGATAAAATGATTGATGAGCTGAATTCTATTAGCTGCTTCAGTTTCAGTGTGCTGGTATTATGCATCCTGACTCACTGTCACAGCTTATTGCCCCATCATTTGTACATACTGTAAGTTAGAAGAAAACAGAACAAGGTGACTGTTGGGGGTCACCACCTCCTCGCCTTTTTTTAATTAATAAAGTACTTTTTCTTCCAGTGACTGCTCACAGGATTGCAACTTCATGACTTAGACAATACAAAGTCCAGTACGTACGTAAAGGAGCAGGGTGTAGGATTTAGTGGCATCTAGCAGTAAAGTTGCAGATTGGAACCAACTAAAACCTTGACTCAACCAAGGAAGGAGGAGAAAATATGGTGCCTGAGAAACTCGCAAAAAATGTGAAAGGCCCCAATATAGAGCCAGTGTTTGGTT